TACTCCACCTCCTGGCGGGGATAGGGGGAGCTCTTCTCCCAGTTGATTGCAAAGCCCAGGATGTTCAGATGCAAAATCAACTGAGCTGTGTGGAAAATTGCCCATTATTTAGAAAAAGACTCTCATGCCCTGATCGCACAATGGTAGCAGTGCGGCGTCTACGCACTTGCTGAATGTGCGTGGGGCCAGTGAGTAGCCGAAGGGGAGTCTGGTGTATTCGTACGCCACCCCCTGGAAGGCAAAATGCAGAAACTTCCTGTGTTTCCGGGCCACCTCAACATGAAAGTAGGCGTCTTTCAGGTCTATGGTCGTCAACCAATCGCCGGGCTGCACTAGCTCTAGCAGTTTCCTGAGTGTCAGCATGCGGAACGGTTTCCGTGCAATATGCTGGTTCAGGTAGCGGAGATCCAGGATGGGTCTGAAGCCTCCAGTCTTCTTGGGGACCAGGAATTACGTGGAGTAAAGACCCCTGTACGTGTCGTGGGTTGGAACGACAGAGATAGTTTCTGCAGGAGCTGTTGAATCTCTGTGGCCAGGAAGTCCACCTCCTCCTGAGAGGACAGGTTGGCTTCCTTGATACCCTGGAAAGACGGTGGGATACGGCAAAATTGTAGGGAGTAACCCCGCCTCAGTGTGCCGTCCATCCAGTCTGTTGGCTTGCAGCAACGTCTCCATTCCGTGTGGAAATGAGTCAGGGGACGCGCTGTTAGCTGAGGAGCGTTGTGGATGAAACGCTGGAAAGCTTCCTCGGCCCTCACCAGCGCCAAACCCTCCATAAATGGGAGTTTGGCCCAAGGGGGGCCGCAATCGAAAGGGCCGAACCGGCCGTGGTGACCTTGAACGCACCACGGCCGAAGTCTCGAAAAACCCGAGCAGATTGTGGTGTCCTGAACGCACCACGGCCGGTCGCTCCGTTGACGTCATTGCCTGCGACAGTGTTGTCGTAGCGTCTACGGTGACGCGTTCATTATCAGCAGAACTGTCGAGAGGAGAAGTGACGAGCCGGGGAGCTGTCCTCTCCACAGCTGTTGGCCACTGTGGGAGAGATAGTGTCCCCTCTGCTGCCAAACGGCGCACCGAGCCGCTCGCAGAGGCAACGAGCGATCTTCCCTGCTTTGCTATGACGGGAGAGACGTGGCTAGTGACAGCATCTCTCCGGCAATAGCGGGCTAGGCTGCTGCTACCACGGATACTCCGTGATGCGCTGCGACCTCTTGTTGGAGCAGTTTTCGGCAGCTTAGCGTGTATGTCTGTGTGGCATGAAAACACTGCCAGTGAGCTAGCAGCGCGCCCGAGCGGGTTCACGTAGGCGCGCTGGGAATGCAAGCTAGGATCAGATAGCTGCATTGTGCTGCTTCTACGGCAAGAGCGGCTCGTTTCTCGGCCGTCATGCCGCGGAAGTGGAGTGTGTCGCAGCTCAGGCGGTGTAGCAAGCACTGTGGATGCCCGGGCCGCACCACCGTCTCGTTCAGCCTTTGCCGGGAGAGCGGTGTGGGCCAAGGGGCAAGCCGTTAGCTTAGCGCCGGTGAATGCGCCGTGTTGAAGTGGCGTGTTCAGCACAACACTTTGCTGGGAAGGGGTTGGTGGGGAGGAATTAGCTCTTTGAGGAATGGCTGAGATACCGGCTGCTCTCCCTTCTCAGCCAGTCATTTCAGTGGCCGCTTCTTCCCCCAGCCGCAGGAAGGCTGGCGGAGGGGTCTAGGCTGCTCCTCTGGCCGCGATGTAGATCCCCTCGCCTGTGTGGGATCCCTGGGCGCCCCGTGTCTCGGGGAGGGCGCGGTGCATCCGTGGATCCGCCCTGAGTAGCCGGTGATGAAGACAGCGGCGATCTGGCTTGGCGGCGAGCACGACGTCTGAGGGTGGCATTACGACGGCGAGAACGTGGCGAGAACCTACTGTGGCCAGAGACATGACGCGCCCCACAGCGGTGGCCACACCCTGGACCAGGTTGTTCATCTGACCGATGGCTCGGGGCAGGAAATCCACCTTGTCCGATGGGGGGGGGGGCGATTGGGGACTCGGATGCTGCCGCGACGCCCAGCACACCCAGATTGTTGGCCGCTGCGGCCAGCTGTGCGCCCAGTTGGAATATTTTTTCAAAATACTCCAACGTCCCCCTGTCCTGCGCCAGCGGCGGGCGGGGCCTCCTTCCCGCTGACCGGCCAGCAGAGTGAGGAAGAAGGTGGGCAGCGAGGGCCTCTTCCAGCGGGGGCACGCACGGAACAGCTGTTTCAGTGTGGCCCTGCACGCGCAGGAAATCAATCAAACCCGTAAAGGGCGCCCTCGTCTGCTGCGGCTCTGCCCAGGATGCCTCGGCGCACTGCCAGATATCTGGGAGAGCCGGGGAGACGAAGGCGGGCTGAGCATGGCGAGTAGGCCCGTAGAACCCCTCCCGGAGCCGACTCACCGGCTTAGGCGGGATGGGGGGGGGCAGTGCTAGCCCGACGCGCCCCGCCGCTATAGCCATAACCGCGGGGAAGTCGTGACGGACTGAAGAGGAGTTAATTTGCTCTTTAGACACGGCCGAGATGGCCGCGGTAGAGGTGGCTGACGCAGATGACAGGCTGTCAGCATCATCGTCGATCAGCGGCGGCGGCAGGGACGGCAGGGAGCGTGAAGCCGAATGAGGCGGTAGATCGGGGGCCGGAGCATCCTCCTCGGCAGGGAGGGGATCCGGGCCGGCGTCTTCCTCACTCTCCTCGCAGATGAGGGAGAGCTCACACTGCCGGAAATGCTCTCAGCGCTGCTGACGCCGGATGAGAGGAATGGCTCGGCAGTCAACACACGGCGGCGGTTGGCGGATGCCATCACTGGCGTGGTCCCTGCCGAGGCATTCAAAGCAGGATCGATGAGTGTCTACCCCGGCGATCAGACCGGGGCACGACGGGCAAAGGCGAGCTTCAAGGAGCGGCGACTCCATCCGTGGAGGTGAAAGTCAGTGGGCGGTTCGCCGTCTGTCTGAAGAAAAAAGGATGCTGAGCAGTGAGGACACAGCTATTTATACGGTACGCACGTACAGTAGCGACGTCCAATTGGTTGGCTACTTAGAGTATTCAAAATTTCAGTGGGCGAGTACGTGCGTGTGATAGGAAGAGAGGTAGTACCCATAGAGTCCAGTAGAGGGCGGAGCCTGTGTGAGATAGAACCCAAAAACATACTACAGATATGAGATGTGTTAATCAATGTTATCAGTGTATCAGCAGATGGATGGAATGGTTGGCTGATGAATGGATGGTGTTGTAGGTTATGATATAAAACCACAAACAAAGCCAAACAAACAAGAACATGGTTCCAGACGAATGGAGAGAGAAAACCAATGGACTGGGAAAGACAGGTTTTAAGTACCTGTGGGGGACTGGCCAGGTGTTCCAAGTTACACTGATGAACTCTTCCTACCAGGGAACTACAAGGCAACGCAGAAAAACAAGGGGAAACAAACACACAGCAGGTCCTGCTAAAGGAGGTGGACTTTCACAATGTGCATTGCTGTGTGTGTGTGTAAAAGGCTTGTAGATTTAGCTGTATATAATTGTCAAACCATCCCTCCACGAAAATTGCCACTGTTATTGATTCCAGTGAGCAGCACAGTTCATCAGAGGCCATCAACCAGGGGAAATGGCCATTCAGTGCAGTGTGTTTCCAGATCACCACCTATATGTCAGATTTTGCTGAGCAACAAAGGCCAGGTGTTTCTTCTTGAACAGCTGTTTGCCACGTTATAGAAACAAACAAGCCAATCAATGCCTTTTTTTGCCTATAACAGTGGTTGGCAATAGGCGGCCGCGGGACAGAACCGGCCTGCCAACAATAATATCTGGCCCACGGCCAGATTGCTTTGATAGCAGAAAAATAAAACATAAATAAATTGATAGTGTCTCGTGCTTGCGTGGACTTTGTTGTGGTCCATGTAACGGCTTGAAAATAATTTTATTTTTTCCGACCGCTGGTCTACACGTTTGGAACATCATCTAATTATGCCAGAGCCAGGATCCAAACAAATAATGAATGAAATCAGTGCAGCTGCAGAAAAAAATTCAACTGTAATATCAGAAAGCTATTCATCAGAGGGGTTGCTTCAAAGGAAGGGTGCTTTGCTCCCAGCATCATATTTAAATTAAAGCCATATAAAGTCCAGCATTCAAATCCAGTCCATGTTACAAACCATATGTCACTTTGATAAATTCAAAGCAAATTGATCCCTGACACAGCCTCTGTGTCAAGTGAAAATATTGAACATGGGTTGAATTATCTACTGATTATGAATGAAGTGTTCAATCTCAGTAACAGACTCAATATGGTGACACTGAGGTGCAAAACATTTCTGGAAATAAAACGAAATTTGTTACAACAAAAGTGCAGTTTTTCAGAAAACCGTAAAATAGGCTACCTTCCATTTTTCTAATTTTTGATTTTCAATGGATACTGATAGCTTTAGAGAAATGGAAGTAGGGCAAATTGTGACAATTTTCCTTGCGCGGGTGTTTGCTGTGCATTTACAGATGGTCACAGAGTTCTGTCCATTTGCCTGGTGTTTTGTCATTTCTTTGTGGTTTCAAAAAAAAACAAACAAAAAAAAAAACAGTTGTTAAGACATTTGGTTGTTTTTGTGACAGTCCCTCTAGCAGTCTTGTTCTAAAGAAAATGCAAAAAAAAAAAAACCTCAGCATGCCATTTAAAGAAGTGCAGCCATAATGTTTTGTATGGTGCAGCAACACGTTTGATTCACAGCCAAACTTCATGCAAACATTTATTAAAGAGGAATCATGCAATGTGTGTTTTCTAAATTGCCATTCTTGAAATATTTGAGTTGTTTTCTGAAATGTTATGCTTTGTGTCACGTGTGGATAAGTGATAAGAAATTAAAAGGGTATTACTAAGTAAAAAATATGTTGCGAGGGCTCGCTGACAACTCCACCTAGGGAATGAGCCCTAGGACTCAGACATAGGTTCTTTAAAAATCGGGGTTGGACCAGAGCAGAAACAAACCACAGGAGCTAAAATAAATGTTAACAATTTATTACAATTAAAAAATGTTTATAAGTTTAAAACATCCTAACCAAAACCCATGTGATGCCACAGATAAAAAACAAAAGCTAAGTTCTAAAAGCTAAATGTTTCGTGATTTGACAGCTCCCGGCACGGCAAACAGTCCCTCTGGGGATTCCTCCGTCCCACGGCCCAGTAGCTCCACGGGTCGCTCCGCCTGCTCCACAGTCCTCGCCGCTCGTCCGTTTCCTACAACAGAGAGTAGTGTGCTCACGTCGGTCAACCCGCACCCTATGCCTCACGACCCTGACTCTGCAGCCCTCCCCTGCCTGGTCCTCTGTGCCGCCTAGCTTAACATACGTAAGCTGTTACTCACGGTTTCCCCGGGCGACAGTCGTACCGTTCGCCCAGGCCTGAGTGGAAGCGTGTTGGCGGATACTGGCTGCTGCGGTCGTCTACTCGTGTTGCTCCTGGCTCTGCCCGAATCAGCCCGGCGTCTTCTTGCAGGCCTCTATAGCGACTACTCTCACGGTCGCCTGCTGCTGCGTCGTCTCGGCTGCCGCGTCGTCTCAGCTGCCGCGCCGGTTCCGTCCAATCAATTACTTCCCCATAGGTGTCTCATAGCTGCCGTCCTCCTGCTCGATGCCCCCCCTGCTAAGCACCCAACGAGCTGGCCGACTTCCACTGCTGCTCTCTTCACACTTCTCTCCATCGAACCTCCATCTCCTCTGCCTGCTTCCCCGCAGTCACGCTCCTTACCGGCCTACATCCTTCATCCATGTTGTTGCGTTCCTTGCTCTTCCTACTGCCGTTGCTTCACTTAAAAAGGAGTCCTGTCCAATCCGTTGCCAGCTTCCACACCTGTTGCTCATTTGGTCATTATGTCATTAGTGGAGGTGTGCGGTTTAAGATCAGTCCAGCCAGTAAGTAAAACTTAAAAAACACACATGCATTAAAACACACCACATGCGATAAAAACACAAGTAACACACTAAAAAGGGTAAAAAGGCACAGCTCACAAATTAAAACACACCAGAAGCATAAAAAGTCGCCTGCAATTTTCTGGTCCTGTCATATCTGCACCTCAGGGTTTCAGTGTAAATATGAATTAGGACATGAGAAATCCTTTTCCAGTGTTTTTTCAAGACACAAATGCTTTTTATGTTCAAGTTTCATGTCTATTGAATTTAAAGCTCAGTATCTTCATCAACGATGCTTTGAAAGCAATGGACAAATTGACTGTAAAGGGAACTGAATCTGTGACAACAGATCACTGGAGCTGTGTGAAGTTCCCTCCTGCTTCAAATGCTCCACAATCATCCTGGTCCCCAAAAACCCTCCATCTCTGGACTAAATTACTACAGGCCTGTCGCCCTGACATCTGTAGTCATAAAGTCCTTTGAAAGACTGGTGTTGGCTCACCAGAAGGACATTACAGGCCCCTTGCTGGACCCCCTGCAGTTTGCCTACAGGGCTAACAGGTCAGTAGATGATGCAGTTAATTTGGGACTGCATTACATCCTGCAACACCTTGACACCTCAGGGACTTATGCAAGGATCCTGTTTGTGGACTTCAGCTCGGCATACAACACCATCATCCCGGACATCCTCAGCACCAGACTCACCCAGCTCACTGTGCCAGCCTCCATCTGTCCGTGGATCACAAACTTCCTGACTGATAGGAGTCAGCAGGTGAGACTGGGGAACATCACATCCAGCACCCGACTATTGGCACTGCACTGGTGCCACCCAGGGGTGTGTGCTCTCCCCACTGCTCTTCTCCCTCTACACCAACAACTGGACCTCAGGAGACACATATCTCAAACTCCTGAAGTTCGCTGACGATACAACAGACTGAGGTTGATCAGCTGGTTCTCTGGTGCGATCAGAACAACCTGGGGCTTAACACACTCAAAACTGTGGAAATGACCGTGGACTTCAGGAGGAGCCCCCCGACTCTGCCCCCCATCACCATACTCAACAGCCCTGTGTCTGCTGTGGAAACCTTCAGGTTTCTGGGTTCCACCATATCCCAGGACCTGAAGTGGGAGCCCAACACTGACACCATCATCTAGAAGGCCCAGCAGAGGGCGCCAGCTCAGGAAGCTCAACCTGCTTAAGGAACTGCTGATCCACTTTTACACAGCCATCATCCAGTCTGTCCTCTGCACCTCCATCACTGTCTGGTTTGGATCTGCCACCAAAAAGGACAGGAGCAGACTACAACGGACAGTCAGAACTGCAGAAATGATCATCTGTGTCAACCTGCCCTCCATTGAGGACTTACACCATTTCCAGAGTCAGGAAATGGGCAGGAAACATCACTGCAGATCCATCTCACCCCGGACACAACCTGTTCCAGCTTCTCCCCTCTGGTAGGCGCTACAGAGCACTGTACACCAAAACCATCAGACACAAGAACAGTTTCTTCCCACAAGCCATCACTCAGATCCTTCTGTTTACTGGTTACCACTTATTATTTATTCACCATTCTCTATTTCAGTGCTGTTCATACAATATTGTCATATTGTATATACATCCTTTGCACTATGCTCCATCGTACTGTGTACATGTGTACATGTATGCATGTATGTGTATGTGTACCTGTATATCACATCCACCTCTGACATGTGGACATGACCATATCTGACCACAGTTGTATTGTTTTTAGCTGTGATTCTCCTGTTACTCATGCCGCCTCACCAAGCTCCGTGTGTTCTCGCTTCTTTGATGAACAGAGTGTTTCAAAGTTTTGCGCACTCTTTCAGAGCCAAAGCCAACACCTGTCTGATTCCAACACCAACAATCTGGTCGATGACTTCAATCATATCTGCTTGTTGTCACTAAATATTACTGCTCCTCTAAAGGTTAGGCCTATGTCTAAAGCTAGTAAGCAACCCTGGATAAATTACAGCGTTCGCAAAAGTTTCAGTCTGGTTTCAGGAAGTACCACAGCACTGAGACTGCCCTGCTTAAAGTCACCAATGACCTTTTAATTTCTGCTGATGAAGGCATGTGCTCAGTCCTGGTACTCCTGGACCTTAGCGCTGCTTTTGACACCATTGATCACAACATCATGTTAGACAGTTCTGTCCTGTTAAATATGGTGTGTCTCAGGGGTCGGTCTTAGGACCCATTTTGTTTTCCTTGTATCTGCTTCCCCTTGGACATATTATCCATAAACATGGTACTTCTTTTCATATTTATGCTGATGATACACAAATGTACTTGTCCGTCAGATCCACAGACCCTGGAATGCTGAGTTCACTTAACAACTGCCTTTGTGAAGTTAAAAAATGGATGTCAAATAATTTCCTCCAGCTGAACTCAGACAAAACAGAAATCCTGGTCATCGGGTCTCAGCAGATGGCAAAACAAATACTGCCATCTGCTGGTTCCCTAGTAAATCACATTAAGCCTGTTGCAAAGAACCTTGGTGTCTGGTTTGATAGTAATTTAAATTCCGAGCAGCACACCACAAAGCTTGTTCAATCATGTTTTTATCAACTTAGAAATATAGCAAAAATTCCATCTATGTTAACTTTTAAGGACAGCGAGACCATTTTACATGCCTTCATCTCATCACGCCTGGATTATTGCAACAGCCTTTTCACTTGTTTAACCCAAAAATCTACTGATCGACTCCAGACTGTCCAGAACTCAGCTGCCAGGCTTTTAACCAGAACAAAGAAATATGACCACATCACCCCTATTTTAGCTTCACTACACTGGCTCCCAGTATGTTTTAGAATTGACTTTAAAATTTTATTGATCACTTTTAAAGCTCTTCATGGCCTCTCGCCTTGTTATATTTCTGACCTTTTAGTCCCATACGCACCAGCACGTACCTTGAGATCCTCGGGCAGAGGTCTGTTGTCTGTTCCAGAGTCTCGACTGAAAACTAAAGGGGACAGAGCGTTTGCTGTCAGGGCCCCGAGGCTCTGGAACAGCCTGCCCGAGGAAATCAGGTCAGCTGAGTCAGTGAACTCTTTTATGTCCCTTCTAAAACATACTTTTATAGGAGAGCCTTTCCCGATCTTATTTGACTTTATTTTATCCCTTTTATTTTATTCTATTTTACTTATTTTATATTTATCTTACATGTGTATTTTGGTCTTTTCAATGTTTTCTTGCTTGTATTGTTGTCTTTTGGGTATTGTTGTCTTTGCACTTGTTGAAGCACTTTGTAACTTGTTTTTGAAAAGTGCTCTACAAATAAAGATTATTATTATTATTGTTATTATGTACATAATAATGATAATAATATCTTACTCCTGAATCCTTTGCAATCTGCTCACTGCACTATTTGTCAGTATGTCTATATTGTTTTTTTGTTCATAGTGTGTATATTTGTGTTGTCTACACTGTAGCCTGTGTCTGATTTATTTTAGTATTGTCTCACTGTATTATTGTATAAGTAAGCACATCGTGAGCAATGTACAATCCTGAGTCAAATTCCTCATATGTGTACACATACCTGGCAAAAAAGCTGATTCTGATTCTGACATTACCTCTATCCATGCATAATACACATGGCTCTAGTAGATTGAAATAGAAACTTTCATTAGAAACTTAAAGCATGGGAGAGATGAATACAATCTTGTCTGATCTGGCAGGATTGGTTTTAATATAATAAGTGTTTTTGTTGAGCTTCAGGCACACAGCGGTTCTTTTCAACAGTCTCCTTCCTTATTAGAGTTAATGTAAGAAAAGGTGTGGTGACACTTAAGAGTGTAAGTATCAGTGCTTACATCCTGATGCGTATATATGTGTGTGTATATATGTATGCTCATGTGTGTGTAAGTATTTCTCATTAGTTCATTTTTCATTTTTGCTCGCACTAATTGTCTGCATCAAGGAACCAATTTTCCAGTATTCCCAGAGTCTAATCTGCTTTCCTCTACAGGCTGCTTTTCATTTTCCTCTTAAGATCTCTGCCAAGTGTTAGAGCCATTACGGACCTCATTAGTGTCAGATACAATATAAAGCTGGCATCTGTCTTCAAATCTGTCTCTTGTGTTTGAAATACTGCACTAATCAAAGTATGGATGAAAATAAGGGTGCATTTTACTTTCAACAGCAGTTCATGTACCTAATTCCTATCATGTTTTCACATTCCTATGAAAACTGTTGTCTGTGGAACTAAGAAAAACAGCCAGTTTTAAAGAATTAGTAGATTTTCGGAAATATTCTGACTTGCTTTCTTTCAGATAATTAGATGAGGAGATCGATACCACGCTCAAGTTTGTGTGTCAAGTATGGAGCTAGCTTAGCTTAGCATAAATATGGAAGCTAGCCTGACTCTGTCCAAACTATTGAGCCTTAAAGGTACTGGCAGGAAATGTTTGAACCAGCCTAGCTATTTCCCCCTGCTTCCAGTTTGATAGGCATCACTACCTGACTGTAGCTCCACATGGACATTGTTTCAATCTTGTCAATTAACTCTTAAAAAAGTGTATTCCCCATAATTTTAAACCATTCCTTTAATGCTGCCTTAATCAATTATTTCATATTAGGGCTGACCGTGAAATAGTTGAAGATTTGATGCCTCGATGGGCGGAGCCTGATTCGACTGTCAATCTCACAGTCGAAGCTTTGCAGTGAACCAAGGATCATGCATCTGATTTTACATAGAACTACCAGTTTTCTCCCAATAACTTAATATACAGCCTATTACAACATACATTTCATGTTTAATGCTGTAAATAAACATATATATATATATAAAAAAACTTTCAATAAATGTTTTTAAAGTGCATGAATAAATAGAAAATTGTAACCCTAACCCTGAGTCGTCAGTGCGCATGTGTAGGCATAGCGTGTATGTGTGCAGTGGGAGAAGAGGAAAACTTGCTGAAGAGATGGAGCCCCAGCTCCGAGTGGTCCGCACCTCG